GCTCAGTAGCAGCTTGGATGGCTCTTTCCTAACCCTTTTGCACTGCTAATAGACGTTCTGCAGGCTGCCAAAGGAGGGATAATGAAAATCAAGCCAAGGGAGGTCTAAAAACCTCACTCCATCAAGGACAGTGTCTGCTGTGTGAATTGTCAGGAAAGGTTTAGATATTGGCGCAGCCTGCTCTCCTGGAGGCAGGACAGTCAGGCAACTGAATTCTCCATAAATTTTCCTGTCATTCATCTGCCAGGAGTATTTTTCAGAAAGGCTGCTGTTCCATCCAGGTACTCCCCTTTTGTAATCGAATGATGATTTATTATCCAAGCAATGAAGAAAAATATATTGCCTTGGAATTTATGAATGCGTAATGATATGTAAGCCATAATAATGAATCACTCCTTTCCCTCCCCTCCCTTCCCCATGTATATTTGGATGTTTATTTCCATATAAATTTCCATTTATTTATGTCCTCCTAAGTTCTCCTTCACAAAGGGGAATTCCCAAGTTAAGGTGTTGGAGAGTTTGAGATACCTGAGTTAAAGAACAAACAAACTGCATGCCTGCCAGTTTTCTACTTCCCTCTGTACTTGTTTCCCAATTCCTGATCCTCATCTGAGCTATTGCTGTCGTGTCTCCCTTGCCGATGTCATTTTGACTCATGCAACTATTTTTTGCGGGTGTGGGTGCAGAGCATTGCCCAAGCGTGAGCGCAGACTAGGGTGAGCCACGCTCCTTCACCACTTGGCTGCCATTGCATGGTCCAGCAAGGACCAGCACAGGAACAGCCAAGTGCTGGCTCCCCCGCGGGCTGTCCTGGCGAGAGGTGCCCATCGTGTGTGTCCTCGGTGCCACAGTGTCACATGCCTCAAAGGCTGTCTAGTCCAGAGTCTTAGGTATTGCTTGTACTTGTAGCAAGACTGACGGAGCCAAGAGCGCAACATAGCCCAGGTTGTGAGGAGTAAGAGAAAAAACCTCCTCTAACACCCTCGAGGGACCAGTGTTCGAGAGAAACTGAAGCCTGCTGTGAAGTGGTATGACCTGGTGATGTGACTCAAAGTAACTCCAAATTACGCGCTGTAGTCAGGTGTTGAACTCAGCTATCGTGAAGCCTAGCCTTCAGTGCAGGGTTATTTTTTCCACTTTAATGCATTATTCCATCTGGACCCATTTTGGAAGACGAGGCAGCGTTCAATGGCAGAGCCATTACGAAAGAAGGAATCTATCTGAACTAGGCTGAAAATTGAGGAAGTCGATTCAGTGCAATGGCCTTGGCCAATGCTGTGCTCCGCAAGATGGGGTACATCAGAGTAATTCCGTGATGGGAAGAAGTGACACTGGTGAAACCATACCTGATTTCCCCTCTGCACACAGTCCCCAACCTCTGCTACTGCTTGCCAGGGAAGTTTCTAGCTAGACTGACTCTTGTGTTTATTTTCTAGTTATTTTCACAAAGTTTTGTGTGCTATTTATGAGCTTCCCCAGTTGGTTACTGCTACGTTGGGCTTGAAATTTAGTTAGTAAAATGTATTCTTTTATGCTGCGGATGTCAAAAGAGCTTCATGGAGGTTAGAGACCGAGATCTACCAAAATTCAGAAGGAACTAGGTATCTAGCACAGAGAAATTTCATTGGCAGTCCCTGGCTAGGCCATTTAGTTATAGTTGGTATATACAGAACAAGTCACAGATTTTAAAAAAATTGTCATCCATAAGAGCTGTAGGGAATAATCCCACAGTTTTGGCTGCTCTGTTAAAGTCTCATAAGGCAGGATAGACAATGCAGCAAGCTTCACCCCTGGGGGGCTACAACATGTGGTTCTGAAGGGATTAATAAACCCACTGTATTTCAATGAGTGCTGTAACAAGACGGTATTGCAAAAGTGTCTCAAATACTGAGTAGGACTGTGGCCAGAGGCAGGCTCTTCAGTGTCTGGAAGCACACACACACAGGCGCTCGTAGCTTGCTCAAGACTAAGTCGGTCTTTAGCAAAATGAAGACGTTACTGGAAAAACATAAAACTTTATCCATCCTTGCAGGCTGCATTTGCATTTGAATGGGTTTTATTCTTTTCATGCTCATAAAAAGTTATATTAAATATTAATATGGTATTTTTCTTGTGTTACTGTACACTTTCCACACACCTGGAAATTAACTCCATTGTAACCACAATAACCTCCCAAAAGAAGACCAAAAAAAACTGTTTATACTAGTGGAAGAATATTGCAAAAGCAGATTGAAGAGTTTCATTTTTCCACTGGCCTGCCAAATTCCTTGACTGACATTACTAAAGATATAGGCATGACTATCTCTATGTTCCTTTATTATTAAAATGCAGCAGAACAACAGGGCAGGCAGCACTTGGTAAAGTACAGCGATAGGAATCCTAAAACCTGATTAACAGCCTTATCTCATCTCAGGGAGCTTCGCTTTCTGGAGGTGAGCTCAAATGAGTGTGAACGTTTTGAGTCGTGCTGCAGGGTGCCTTGACCCTGGCTTTTCTGCGGGCCTGGGACCAGTGCATGTGTGAGATGGGACAGGGACCAGGTGAATTCACAGGCTGGCATGCTGAAGGCACACCAGACATCCTCGTTCATGCTGCCATGATCTCCATGGCAGGCAGTTGCTGTTGGTTCTGGTGCAGCGCCTTTTGTGCTTTATGCCGGCTTGGGCAGAATTCAGTGCACTTTGCTCCCCACAGCAATCCCAGTGCTCTGATGGTTTTTCAGCATTAGGTTCTTGTATTTCCAAGCAAGACACGAATATGTACATTTATACTTGAATTTGGAGCAGCACGGAAAATGAAGAAGGCAATTTTCCATAGGTATAATGGACTTTGGACACATGGTATCTAGAAGTACAGTAATAGCATTTTCATGCTCTCGTTATAAAATCTACCAAGGTATCTCAGGTGTCGTCCCTCATTAAAGTGCTATTTTATCTGAATGTTGGCGATGGAAACTCCGTGTCAAACTTTAGGCCTATGGATGAAGCCTCTCTTCTTCTCAGGAAAGGACTGATTTGTTTAGGCTCGCTACATTCCTGTTATGTGAAATTCTTCCTGCCAATTTTGCACTGATTAAATAAAAATAGGGAAAAGATTCTCTTGAGTGGGCCTGGTTTGCAGTTTATGCATTGCATACCGGCTGACTGGTCTTGTTGGGTTGACCTCACAGAGAAGGGAAAAGCTGAAACAATCAAGACTATCCCTGCCTGATAAGAGAGGAACTGCTGACTCGGCTCAGCCACATGTTTGAATTGCACATGCTAAGCTAACAGACTATGGTATTTACATGACTTCACTAAACACTTAAATCTATTTTGTGGACAAAAGGATTTTAAGTTAATTTATTTTGTTGAGAGAATAATTTAAGCAAGTTAGCATTTTGTTGACAGAATTATGATGAAATTCATTTTGTCTACATAACTGATTGGACAGTTAGCAGAATGCATTTTCTCCACAGAATCCAGTATGTGCCAGGACTGTCAAATATGGTTTCCTCCACGGTTTCAAGTTATTCTGTCAACAGAATGAATACAAAATCCTTTTGTCTACAAAATGAACTTAGGTGTTAATTGTTTGTCAATAAGGAGTGCAAAGCCAAATGATCCTCTGTTGAACACTGATAAAAATGTACAGGGGTGTGTGCATGCTGACATGCACAGCTGTGCCCCTCGCTTTGTTGTCAGAGTCCAAATGTCACAAAGCAAGAGCCTGGCAGGGAACAGCATCTGATCCACGCCGGGGCTAGGCATGGTCTGGGTATCACAGTCGTGTTGGGAGCATTGTGAGGAATTAAGTGGTGTAGAAATGCAGAGCACGGGGGCTGGAGAGCTGTCAATATTGTTTCTAGCAGGGATTCAAATCCTCTCTCTGTGAGCGTTGATTCTGGTTCTTCTTGGTATGGTACAGCACACGCGGGATGCAGCAGTTTTCCTACCTGGAGGAAGTGTATCACAAATAGATGTGGCAGATGAGGAGCAGGGAGAGGATGTGTTGTATTCAGATCATGCTGGCTGGGAGCTGAGGCTTAATGAAATGAACTCATTAGTTTGAAGTCCTATGGGGAAACACCTCTTAGAGACCATGAATTGATTTGAATCCTGTTGACCGCACAAACCATCCTCTCCTTCTGGACAGACACAAATTAAGGAGGTACACCATGAACTTTGTGCCCATAAAAGATGGAAATTTTACTTAGACCCTGATTTTAAACACATTTGGGCTCATCTGAAGCCCACTGATGGCTTTCATTTTATTTTTGCCGTTTTCTTTTTTTCTTAGTTTTGAAGACACACTGTGTTAGCAAGTATTCATATACTCAATTTTGAAGGTGCCATCTGGGATGTCAGCTCTCAGCACCTCTTGGGTAGACCAGGGAACATAATGGAGAAAATGTTGTGTGGTTTTCTCTGAAAATACTATATTTTTGGAGCAGCCTGCCTAGCAATAAATATCTGGAAAGGAGCAAGAAAAAAAAAAAAGAAACATTCCCTCATTAAAAGTATCATAAAAATTGCACAAAATTATTTTTTTTCCTTCCCCTCTCCTCCTTTGTGCTTTTAAGAGGGTTAAAGTTAATGGAGGGTAGAAAAAAATATGAAATAAAGCTATGAAGAAATATGACAGTGTCATAGTGCAACATCAAAGTTCAGCCCTCTAATATGTTTTCATGTTCAATCAGGAGAAAACAACCAACTAATCCCCAAGTTCATTTATACTGCTTAAAGTACCCTGGCTTTCAGCTCTGCTAATTGTCAGAAAAGCCAAAAGGAAAGAAAAGCAGTCCCTTTTCAGCTGTGTTTTGTCTAAATATTCTAGTCACTGCCAGGGTTTTGAGGTTAAGGAGAGGTACATCGGGTATGGAGAGGCGAGGTTAAAGGCATGAAGGTTGTTTCTCCTAATGAGGTTTGTCATTTACAAGGGCATAATCATCTCTGTTTTCTGCAAGGGAACATTTATGTCAAGAGCACTATGCGAGACACTGTTTTCACGTTCTTTTGCAGAATGTGACCTTTCAGAGAAATGCAGCCCCATACCTGACAGTTTAGGGCTGCTCAGGCACGGCACACGTTGCAGCGATGCTGGCGGGGGCTCAGCTGACGGTGGGACCTTCCAGCTAACGTTGGACACAAAGAGCAACTGACCTCATGTCTCAAGGTGACAACTCCAGTGGGGCTCAAGTGCCCACTGCTATTTATTAGGTGCATTTTTTACAGAGCTTCCAAAACGTTTTGTTACTGGCTTTTGCCTTTTGCGCCCTGGTGTGAACAACTGGTCTGTGGGGCTGAGCAGGAGCAACAGCTGGGGTTTTACAGTTTGATTATACCATTTACTCACACTTCTTCGGTTGAGTGCATTATGCTGCGTCCTGCAAAGAGGCACAATTGCTCTTGCTGCAGAAGGTAAAGCAAATCAGACATGTCAGTCTCCCTTGTTGCTCAACACAGCCACTAATGACTGCAGCATATGTAGCTGCTTCCCAGGCCACTAGGAGCTCGATGCATCTGTTACTCCTGCGGGAGCAAAGCCCTGATTGTCAATACCATCATCCCCATGCTCTTTAGTCAGCAGAACCATGGTGATGTTAGCCCTCGTGTTAGCTGGTCCCAGGGTGGCAGCTCAAGAAGGATTGTGTTGGAGAGGGAGCGCTGGGAAACCTATGGAGTATTAGGTAGCAGCTGGGGACCATGACACACTCATCTGTAATACACAAATGATGTAAGCACCTTGCAGAAATCCCAGCCCAGAAATAAAATGGTTGCAAATTGCAGATGTTATATTAACATAGGTTTGCAAAGCACTCACTGGGGGCTGCAGGCATAAACTGTCCAGGTAATAAAAAAACACAGTGCTAGTGCTGAGGGACCTCTTGCAAGCCAGGATTTTCAAAACCATGTGGCACCTGTCACGTGGGGTGTCTGTAAATCCGGTCAGTGTGTTATGAACTTAACACTGCAAGACCGCATGCTTAAAATGGCCCGTTCAATACCAAATGACGAAAAGGGCTTTAGTCACCTTTGTATTTCACATACCTCCTCGCTGCTCACCGACTCACATATTTGCATACTTCCCAGCAGATCACACTGCATTTCCTTTTTGCCCTGAGGTCAAGTCTGCAGTGTAGGCAAAGTCACACCTATTCATAAAACTGATTTTGCAGCCTGATAACTCTTCAGGGAGAGTGGGATTTTAATGCAGGCAAAAGCAGGACACTTGGAAAAATAATAAAAAATCTGTACAATGTGCTGTAAGGAGGAGAGAAGGGAGTACTTGCTATTAAACTTATGTTATACCTTATAATGAAAACAAAATTTAAGCCACTAGAAAGGGCAAACACTGCTCTCTTTTGCCTACATGAATTTTTGCTAGTGGCTCCAGCATAATCATCTCCTAAATGACTTGGCCTACATTACATCTCACTTTCTAGGTGAAATGGTAAGTGGCACTTTTGTACGTGGAGGTGGTGTAACAGACCTCCTCAGTATATAAATTATTACCAGCTTCTTTTAAGGCCCTAATAACTAAGTGCACAAATGACTACAGCTTCTTAGCAAGGTCTACCTGCAAAGGTCACGTAGCTTTATTTTGAGTGTAAACCACAGAAGTGGTTCCTGGAAAGGCTGTGTGGTATTTTGATATGAAGAGCACAAATGGCAGTAGTTATTCCACGTGTACCAGAAAGAATGGAGATGCATGTGGTTAACAGCTTCGTGTGCAGCAGAGTGGTTAGATCACCCTGGCTGCAGGCAGGCCACCAGTGGTTTCTGCTTTTCAGGGCATTTGCTCTTGTTTTGTCCGACAGAATCCCAAACTAATGGAGCTGTCACTGCAATCTGACAGGTAGCTAACATAAAAAGGGGGCAAGATACATGACTCAGAGAAGCACTCAGTTGGAGCTATCTCATTATTCACATGCAGGAAATCAATCAGAGAGTGGTGTAATTCAAAGGAAAATAAAATAAAATAAAATATATATACTTCACAGCCTATACAGGTGAGCATTTTAAACCTGTGCTGGAGAGCTTTTCTTGCTCTGAGGCAATTTTTTCTGGTGTTACCACAGGGAATACCACAGGTTCCACTTACCTGGAGCTGTCTGCCTGCCAGGACCATCTCTTCATTAAACACTCACAGCACCCTCACAAAGCAGCTGACTCCCTCTCTGGACTGCTCAGCACCAGATGAGAGTCCTGCCACCAGCTCCCTGTGTTTGAAAGGTCGTGGGTGCACACCTGGCAACTGAGGGGCTGGAAATGTACCGCATCAAACTCTTATTAAAGCAAATCACATTTTCACGCACACCTTTAGCTTGATTGAGGCCCCACTATACCCACTTTTGGGAACATTTTTCATTCTTAATGACCAGAGGAATATCCTACCTTTCTTTTTTTTTGGCAAAGAGGGCTCAATTATTTCAGTGAGAGGGGCAGCATCAGCAGTAGTTAGCTTTCTTCTCTTTTTATAGCCTAATGAAAAAGCATAAGAATGATGCTTAGAAACAATGGGGTTGACTCATAAGGGATGACTGTATGTGACTCATAAGATGTGAAATTATTCCAGAAACTTGATGTATATGTACATGTGCTGAGACTTGGGCTTGGGAGGGTTATTTTTTGTGACTGGAAGAATACTTACTGTGTATTTTGAGATGTGCCTGACATACAGCAACATGTTCTGCACAATTGTATACGTGACTAATAAGTTTCAGTGGCCTTTCTATGATATTCCCAGTCCTTGAGGGAACTGAGCATTAATGATGCTTTCCTCATCTTTGCTTTAACTTGGAAGACTACTGCGGATGGCTGGTACAGGAGGGACTGTAAGTTTCTAAAGAAACTTCTTCTGATGCAGGATAGCATGAGAAGGAAGTTCCCAAACCAAGGGTTAACCTAGGAGGATCCACAGAATTGTCCTAGGGTTTTTGCTCTGATTGGCACCAACTTTGCCAGTTTGCTTTGGAAGCTAGGAAAGCCTGACTGAGATGTCTGTGCAAGGAAAGTCACACCCTGAGGGCTAACTGCTGATCCCTCTAAGCAGCACAATTAAGCACCAAGCATCCTGAGTGACAAAGATACCTTTTCACTGTTGCAGCCTAACAAACCTTTTTGATCCATTAATTGTCTTGTTCAATTAGAAAAGATGCCACTTGCTTTCCCTCTGCTGAGCATGTCCTTGCAGGTCAGCTGGCTGCAAACACTTCCCTGACATCCTTGGAGCAAGACTTGGGGTCTGTGCTGGACAAGCAGTTACCCATGGAGCTTCATTGGTTTTCTAGCCCAAAGAAGGCATTTGCAGCTCTTCACCATGTGTTGGCAAGAAAATGGCATTGGAATAGATTAATGAAATAAGTCTGCTTGAATGGGGCTACTAAACTATCGATCAGTTTCCCCTATATCTGCTTGGTTTTCCTTGGGTCATAACTGAAGCTACTTTTTCCTTAAGATGAAGAAAGCTCACGGGATTCCATCTGCCAACATTATTTTAAAATACTGTGACATGTGGTGGCATCTTGTCCCATTAATTTGCAACTTGGAGAACATAAAGATGTTAAAAGAATAGGTCACGGTAAAAGGGATAGTTCATAACACATCTGAATTTCAGGGACCTGTTATTCCACTCCTCTCAGCTTGATGGTTTCCTTTATTTGGCTGCACATGACACATACAGCAGCTTTTTCTCATGTGCATATAGGTCCTTACTCACTGCCCTTGGACTCTGTGCCAAGGTCCTGTTATCGAGGTGCACGAACAACCTAACCTAAGGCAGCCTGTCTTTGGTATGGTTTTGATTTTAAATCAATGCCTCCTGTGCCACATACAATTGTTTAATGTGGGCTGTGGGGTTGCCATCTGAGAAGACCAACCAGCTTTGCAGTTAATGCAAGCAGCTGAGTTACCTTCTCTCCTTTTTTGAAGAGCAATCAGGTGGGCTGGGAGGGAGCCCATCAATGAAACTCAGGTGGTCTTTAGGCCACATCCCAGATGATGGTCTTCTCCAAGATGCCCTTTGTATGTTGGGCTGTGCACATGCTTGGGTGTGAGGAGGGCACACAGTGTTTTCCTGCAGTGCCAGAGGAGCTGATGTGAAATCGTAGGTTGGAGGATTTTATTGGGAAAGTTGCACCCTGTGCCTGCCCAAAGAGCATCAGCCTGGCTGAGGTGGTTCCCAGCATGCCACGGATGTGTGTTCAAGCACTGGTCACCTCCTCTCTGTACTCCACTTGCAATTGCTTATGAAAAGGAACATGAAGAGGCTGTTGCAGTAGCATGCCATGCTATAAATAATGGCTTTGCTGTGCCGAATATGAGCCTTTCTGTGACTGGAGCAGAGACAGCTGCTGACAGAAGGCTGAATTGTTCAGCAACAGCAGACACCAGGATTAAGTGTGAGATTTGGAAACTGCCTCATAACTTGCACGGGAACATTAACGTGTGACATCAAAGATTATCTGTGTTGTCAGGCATGCATTCTCACAGTGAACTTGCTGTAGGTAGGATTTTCCTCCTGGAAAAAAAATTAAGAACACAGATTTGTGTAACTCTTTCCAAGTTCCTAGCTATTTTAAAGTTACGGTCTGTCGCTCCCCTTTACTGCATGCAGCCCTTATCCCAGCTCTAGTCTGGCTCCATGCAGCAATGTTTATCAGCAGACGGTGTTTTAAAGAGCGAGGTGTCTTCTGAAAAAGTGTGTGTCCAGCACTTGACTTGTCCACCAAATGCATGCCATACACAGAAACCTGTGCTCACGTTGGGATTTAGCCTGCACTGGAGAGCTCAGGACACCTAGATTTGCACTTTGAGGTATGGACAGCTAGGGCACAAGAAGGGGGGAACCTGGCAGCCCTGCTCTTGGCAAGGAAAATGCCCCAGGCTCTATCCGGGGTGATTTGCTCTGGGGCATCCAGCCTGCAAGGTGCAAGTATATGCATGGCTACCACTGTTCTGCTCGGTGTTAACTCTGTGCTAACAACTCTGACTCTGAAGATCTGCTTAGATGGAAGAGGGTGGGATGTGACATGAAAACACCAAATTCCTTGGTGCTGTTTTGTGGGTGGGGGGGTTGGTATTGTTTTGATTTTTATAAGTAGCAAATCTAATGTCTTGGAGACTTTGCAGGACACAAAAGTAGCTTTCTGTGGTAACTTGTTTGGAAAAAGTGACCAATGTAAGATCCCCATGGCAGAAAACGCAGCAGTCCAACAGCTTGATACAGTGCTTACAACCGCAGGTTCGTTCCTTCTCGCCTGTACCAAAATCAATAAACAAAGTCTATATCAACAGCATAAAAGAAATTTGGCAGCAGATCTAGCGGGTTTTAAAATCTTGGCAGGAGTTTAAAACCAATCAAAGCGAGTCCACTTTTTTTTTTCAGGAAGGCATTCATTTTAATTGTCTCAACATACATTTGTACATGTATGGTGGGGGAAAAGAAATGTTATCCTCCATTTTCCCTTGCCTAATTCCAGCCCATTATTCATCATTAGCATTGGTTAAAGAAAAAAAAAAAGTTATTTATTTCAGGGAATTTGTTGAAAATCCAGTCATGCTATTCATTGTTTTTAAAGGCTAATCAGCAGCATCAGATTTGATAAAATATTTTGGATATTTTGTTGAAGTTTTAAACAAGCAGTTACTCTGATCGGTGATGGGTTTTGTAACTTCGTCACCTTCTTTCCTTTCTCTTCACCAGAGGCTTTTAGCAAGCACTTAACTTTCCCTACAGCCTAATTTCTCTGCTGGTTTCCTTGAAGGCTGTCCTCTCCTGGGACAACTTTAGCAGACCAGCCCCTTCCCCACACAGGGTCCTCCACCATCGTAACGGCAGGATAGCACCGGGTTTATTTTCAGGTGCCTCAGTTCGTTGGATACTCAAAACAAGAGCATTCAAAGTGGGTTTACGGATTTAGACACGAGCCCTTGGCTGCATCAGGCTTTGCAGCCCCGAGGGCAGGGCTCGCCTCAGGGCCGCCATTTGGGAGCGCTCACGCGCCCCCCCTCAGGGGCCGCAGGGCGGGAAAGCGGCCCCCGCTGGCCACCGCCGGTTCTGGAGGGTTCTGGAAGGTTGTGGACGGTTTGGGGCAATTCTGGGCGGTTCTGTCCAATTCTAGGCAGTTTGGGGCAATTCTGGATGGTTCTATTCAGTTTTGGTTGCTTCCGGGTAGTTCTGGGTGGTTCCAGCCAGTTCCGGAGTGGTGGCTGACGCCTCTGGGAAAAGGTCTTGGAGAAAGGGCCCAAAAAAAGCCACCCAAACCAGCAGGAAACAGCCGAGGTGTTATATATGGAGTGGTAATTCGTGTAGAGAAAATGGTTGGTATTAATAAAGAAGGGGGAGATTTGGGAGTGTGGCCATGGTGGTTGGAAAGCCCCGTGGTTGAGATAACATTAGACTCTTAATGATGAGGCCATCAGGAATGTAAAAGAGTTTAGAGGGAACAAAGAAGGGTGATTCAGGAGACTCCATGCAGTCTCCGGTTTCTTGTTCTCCAGCCATTAAGGCCTGGATGTTTCTGGGTGTTTGCTGTTGTTGTTACATTCAAAGTTGTTTGACCAATGAAAAGTTGTTTTGAAAAGAACTGCTGTGGAGAGAAGGGTATAAGAGGGGAGCCTGTCCTCAAGATAAAAAAGAAAAAAAAAAAAGGAATGAAAAGGAACCGGCTAGCAGAACGGAGACCAGGACGGGAGCAGGCACACTGATTGCCTCATGAAGATAGGTTCAGCCAGACTCAGCAAACAGCTCAGAGAAGCTCGTACTGAAAGTGGCTGGAAATGGGCGCACCGGAGCTGGGAAGAAGCTCAAGCTGAGAGAAGTGGAGCCTCACACACAGCTACCCCACGCTGGTAAGCAGCTGCGCATTATGGGGAATCATACATCCTTAGGAACAAAGACTGTCGTGGTAACCTTACAGCTCATTCTCCTTCTATGCCTCCAGATAATTTAATGATGTATTTACCATCTTAGAATAACTGAGTAGAAGATCCTAATATAAAGGGTGAATAGAGGTGAAACTTGAACAGAGAAGTCTTGGAGGGAAGGAGGAGGGTGGACAGATGACTCAGGTGTTTTTAATCACAAGAGGAGGAGGACAGATGGCACTGAAGGCCTGGCCAGGTGTGCCTGGTCCCAGTTATGAGTGTCTGGTCTCAGCACAGTGGAAGGGAATATAGGATAGCAGGTAAGTGATTTTATTCAGATCGGATCTGACCATGCAGTGAGCAAGAGGAAGGTGCGGAGCCATGGAAGAAAGCCTGGATGAGAAGTGACCCACAGGTAATTCCAGGGCTCCTGCCTCCACTTGCAGAGTTGAGCTAAATGTTGCTGATCCTGTGCAGGGCCTGACCCTGTAAGAGAGGATTGGAGCTGCAGGTAGCTCTTTAAGGATTTGTTTCCTGCTTTTTACAATGGGTACAGTGTTTTGTTTGTTTGTTTGTTTTTTAATATATACATATATTTTTTAAAAGTGCAATGGATGATGGGAAGGGTTAGGCTGTTCCTTGGGCAGTGGCATAGCCTGGGATGGTGGAGGGGCCAAGAAACATGTTGAGATGTTACTGTGGGGCAAGGAGGAGAGAATTGTTACCTGCCACCCTGCAGGAAGAAGTACATGCCTCCCTCATAGCTCTCCTTTTGCCTGCTCTCTGAGGTTTGAGGATAATTTCTCAATTTAAGGGGATTCAACTGTCACTTGTGTCGGGGAGGATTGAATTTTGATGTTATGTATATCGAGCGTCTTACCTGTAAGGGATATGTTGTCTTGTTTTCATGCCAAAATGAGAAAGACACAGATAAGTGCGGAGGTAAGAAAACTTGCATAGGCAAAAATAGGCTTGGTATTTATCCAGTGTGGGCAGAGCGCTGGGAACAACTGCATGTGAATTACAATAGATGTGTCAGTGCTTTCTTCGCTGTGGTTTCCTGGAACTCACAAGCTGTTTTTAGTTGGTGGTAATTTTGCCAGACTTTAATTGCTTGGGTTGATCTTTTCTACAAACACAGCCTTAGGCTCGTATTCTAAAATTCCTCTTATTTTAGTCAAGGCTGTTCACCTGTTTTTAAAAACAGGGCATTGAGAATACTGCTCTGAGCTACTGCACATCCTGAAAGGTTCTGGAAGCTTGTTTCTGAGCAGCTTAGTTGGTGGTGGCTGTGGCAGCCAGCGTGTGGCTTTCTGCTTTGCTGTGCAAAGTCAGACTAAACTTGATGAAGTGTTAGGGGAATAAAGTTTGCGTGAGGTGGAAAGACCTGTTGGTTTTAGCAGGGAAAACCTCTGAAGAGGCGAAACCGTAGGAACACATGCTATCCCTTTCCATCTGTTAGCAGTACCTGCGGGTGCAGGGTTCGCTGCCACCAAGTGACTGCCTGGCCCAGGACTACAGCACTCGGTCAGGCTCTGAAAATGCTGCAGCCTGCCTGCCCCAGGAGCCACCTTCAGTGCCCTGTGGGTCTGCATTTGTGGGTCCTGCTTGTGTTTGCATAGTTCCAGTTTTGCAAATAAAACTAGGCTTTAGCACTGGTGTGCCGTGACCTCTGAGTGCATAATACTGCAGTACTAATAATGATAGTTACTGTGATCCCGAGCTTGTGCACAGAGTTGCACTGGGGTCAGCTTTCAGCAAAGCTGCTCTGGTGCTAAAGTTCCTTTTTAAGATAGCTTGGACTGGAAAAGGGTCAGTCACTCACAGCTTCAGTACAGCATTTCGCTCTCAGAAGGGTTCGCTTGTGCTGTATCAAATAGGAAAACAGTTTGAAATATGCAGTGGATTTTGAATTATAGATGTCCAAAGCCTGCAGAAACCACTGAACCCCTCTCACTTATCATTTATAGCATCAGATCAGAATGCTTTGATTCCCCAGAGAAGGTCCTGAACATACCATGCTTAAAATTTAAAGACATCAGGAAGGTGTCCAGAGTCTCTATCTTCTTGCTTCTGTTCGTTACTGATTTGCTTGTTAACACTGGAGATGGATTGAACTGAACCCAAACACACTTGCACTGTGGATCCTAAGCGCCGTGTGCCCCAGGGTGGGATGGGTGTGCTAATTGCTGCCATGGGCTCCTGGCTGCCATCTCCTAGTGGGCTGGTTGTTCCAGATCAGCTTGAGCTGAGTGGTGCCAGCACCGCTTCTGTAGCTGGAAAAGCTCCTGAAGGCAGGAATATGCAGACCGTACTCAGTGCCAGAACCAGAAAGATCCTCTGTAGGGCAGTAGGACTTTGTCTTGGATTGCATTCCCCATATCCGTGGGTTCACTTGCCAGGGTTCTTGACTGCGTGCTTGTGGCTAGCTGGGTGGCCTCTGAGGGCACATATTTCTATGAAAGGAGCAGATGAGAGAAAACTTAACCTAGGTTGAGGAGGGGGAGAGTGAATTACTTTCTGGAAAATATGCAGAATGGAGGTGCTGACCTGACACTGCGCATCCTGAAGCTCTGAGCAACCTCACTGCACATCCTTGCTGACCCTGCTTTGAGCCGGGGTTGGACTGGAGAGCTGAGGTCCCTTCTACCCTAAATGATCCTGTGATGCTGCATGCATCCCAGAAGTTTCAGTTCCACATCACTCACCCTTTCTGCCACAGGCTTTGCATACTGAGTGGGTCTCGTACCGAGGAGAACTGGAAATGTAGCCAAGGTATGAGGGACTTTCAGCAGGTCCTGGATGTCCTGGCACCCAGACCCATGGAGCATCCCACAGCCTGTGTTTCCCTCTGCAGGGCCGGGTTCGCAGCAGGGGTTGATAATGAGAAGCTCCTGTGTTTCTCAGAGCCCTAGTAGGGAATGGGTTTCCTCTTTGGTACAGCCTCTCTTTCCTTTCCCTCCCATGTGCTTGGTCTGATCTTGGCAATGCAGTTGGAGAAAGGCCTGCACGCTGTGATTATTACCTGCGATTAAACCCTGAAGGAAAAGGACAGCTTTTCCACATGGGATGCTGGTATCATCTGCTGTGAACAAAAGGTAAAAGTCAACCTGTTCAGGAGCAAATCAGTCTGGATATTTGTCACCCTTCCTGAATTCTAAATTCTGTCTTTGTGCCTGCAGTCTATTCATTCCTTTAGTCCCTATTCATCTTCCCTCCTTCCCCCTTTTTAAAACTATTTTTTCAGATGCCTAAATGAGCGGTTTTGCAAAACACACAGTGTGTTTTCCTTATGTTTTTGCCCAGTCTAAGAATAAATTATAGCTTAAACTTGGGAATGCTACATCTGTCACTGGTTGTAAAGCGGCCTTGAAGAATTTTGCCTTGGCAAGCCGTAATTGCTGATAACTGCTCCTTTTATGCAAATCTCGGCACGCGTGGGACTGCTAATGTGGTGGTGGGCTCAGCAGAGGCACGCAGCTGCAGCAGGCAGGACAGCTTCGCGGGCGCCGCTCTGCATTGCAATGGGATGCCCCAGGAAGCTGGTTTTTAAATGATTGTTAGGTTAGATATCTGTAAACAAGCTCTGTGGTGTTGAATCCAGTCCAGAAAAGCTGACTTGTTTAAGTTCCTCCTCATCCCTAAATTGGTCTTCTGCCTTTTAAAAAAAGGCAAGGAAATTACCTTTTGAGCTGTGGTTGCTTTTATTGCCTGGCTCCCTTGCCTTTGGTGGTAAATACAACTGCAGAACGATCACGCTGCCTGCCAGCTCGGCTTGTGGAGCTCTCACTGAATTACTACTCCCATCTTACCTGCTGCTCCCTCATCGTGGGAGCACTTACTGCTTGGCAGAAGCTGGAGGTATTAAGTCGTAAGGCTGCCAGTCCTATCCTTGGCCTCCAGATGTGGTTAAGGTGCCGAGCGCGTGGCCTCACAGCCTCTGAGCTGCAGTAACCCCTGCATACCCTGCAAGAAGTAAGGTGACTCGACCTCTTTCTGCTCCTTCAGCAAAAGAGTGACTGCTTAAGGGGTGGTAGCTGGGAAGAGCATTAAGATAAGGCTGTGTGCTTTGCAGAACATCCTTTAGAGCAGTCTCTTCTTGCTTTCGTGCTTTGCTGAAGCATATTGCTGGGAACCTGACCACGTGGTTAGCAGGCTCAGAGACAGGTCCTGTCGCAGTAACATCTCTGAGCATCGTGTGCAAACCATTAGCTGGCATCTAGCTGCTGAGGTTTGCACTACCAAAACTGGAGTGATTACAGAGCACAGGGGGGCTCAGTGCGGCGCACGAAGCATATGTTCAATGCTACATAGCTAATAGTACAAATTGTAAAACCTGACTTATCTGGAAGGGTCAGCAAGCAAGGCAGCTGGGCAGCTGCCTGGCAGTTGTGTGGCTGTGTCTCTGCAGCCTCTTGTCAAAGGCTGATTCCAGCACATGGATGCTCTGCTGGGGCTGGCACTTAGCAGACTTCTCCCCTTCCTCTTGCAGGGTACAACAGAGCTCCTGGCTGCCCTGCTGGGAAGGCTGCTGAGTGAAACTGCTGCACCATTACAACCACTTGTAACCTGGAGTATGACAGAAAACACTGCTGCAAATCCGTGTGGAGTGGTTGCCACAGGGAAGGAGGTGGGGAGCTCCCAGAGGAAGCCTGAAATTAGGCATCACCCAGATGTTCTGCATGAATCCAAGCCACGTGGTAAGCAAGCCATTTAAAAATACTTCAGGAGAGAGGCTATCCTTCCTTTTTACATGTGGTGGGGTTGTTTTGCTTGGAAAATGTGGTGGCACTCAATGGGGCACAAGGTAGCGCTGACCAGGAGCAGCTCAGTGTGTGCATCTGCTGTACAGGGAGATGTGTTACCAGCTTGCACCCCTGGCTCCATTGGCATTACCAGCAGCTTGCAAGAGCGGAGGCGGTATTTTGTTGCTGTAGTTGAGTTTGGCAGGTACAGTTATCAATGCCACCATGTCTGTGTCTTCTGGTTCATCTGTTCATGGCCAGGCTCCTCCTACTTTGTCAGATTTCACTTGGTGAAGAAGAAATAGGGTCTTGATTGTACTCTGGTGTTTGCAGGGAGCATATCGGCCTGGGGAGTTCCTGCTGGCTCCTGCTCTGTTTCCATCACCTGTGCTGCAGCGAGCTCTTTGCTCCTGTTTGCTGGCACGTGTGTGTGATACCACTGCTGCAGGCCGAGCTGGGGTACAAAGGCCACAGTAAAACACAAATAGCACACCTTACTTTTCCGTGGCTCTTTGCGTCCATCTGGGGGGTGGTTTTCATCCATCTGTTTACAGCACAGCTCTGTGAAAACTTCGGAGCAGAATTGCTGTACAGCAGCACGGCGTGCGGGGCAAGGATGGAAGATTAAGATTAAATTAGGATGTTACCCCCATCTGGTCCTTGTTCTGCCTGCAAGTGCTTTCGGGGTTTGGGCCACTAACTTAGCTCTTGCCTGTGGAATTGAAAGAAGGTACAGGTCTTACCACTGCGCTGTTGCATCTGTCAGACTTCATACAGTGTGCCTTGCCTTCTTTGGAGGCAAGGTGCACAGAGTTTGAACCATGCCCTTGCAAAATATAAAGCAAAGGTGACATTGGGGTCATCCTTGTGAACCCTGCTAACGAACTGATTACTGCCTTTCTAGTAGCTAGAACAGCAATGGAGGAAAAAAATCTGTTTAAAAGCTTGGAGACAAAAATCCCCTGAAAGCAGGGTTTTCACAGGAAAGGCTGAATATGAGGTGAAATACATTTTACTGTGATTCTCTCCACTTGTTCTGCACATATAAATATTGTATGGGTAGTCCATATTAATTACCTAGGGGTCTTCATTATACATGTAGTCTGAGGAGACCAGGAATAGCTGGTAGGATTATGCCTGTTAAGGAATGATTATACCCATTCTAAAGATGTGCAGTGTAGATTAACAAAAGTTCTGAGGTTATGGTAGTTTGGCATCCTTGCATTTCCCAGCAATATCTCCCTAGCACAGGAATGCACCCAGCATTTTGCTTGGAGACTAAAGGAGAGCATTAAGGGAAAAGGAGTATTTAAGCTTGCCAGCCAGAAATGGTGTCTCACATAGCTGAGAGCAGTCAGTGCCATCAGATGTCTTGGCTGGCAAGCACACAGCAAGATAAAGAGAACAATCAGATCTTTGTGTGGTTAACAAAACGGTCAGCAGTGAAAGGGGGAGGACTTGGGGGAATTTTGGAGGGACAACCCTCATGGTTAAGGCTACCAAACAGCTTGCAAAGGAAGAGTGTTCCTTTGTAAGGAAGAAATTTCCCCCAACAGCTTTTTCTGCAGCACTTCTTTCACTTCTTTTGCTCTGGAGAAGCTGGTGTGTGTGCTAGCTCCACCAGTGTTTGTTCTGAGTCACAGTGGTGCTCCCTGGGCCTGGCATTTCAAAGCCTTGCACTGCTGCCTTTACAGCTCGCGATATATTTGCCTGGAGGAAAACATTGCATGGACATACACTGGTGTGTGACTCCAAAACGCTGCATTTAATATTGTCTAAGACCCCTGCAAAATATTATGAGAGCAGATAGCACAGCTAGTCTGTTCCCCTGATAACCACGTATTCTTCAGCTAGCAGTAGCTCTGAGGCAGGTTACTGCAGGATGATGAAATTAAATAGATAGTTTAAAATTCCTGGTGTAATCATTGATTTTTCCAGTCCTGGTTTAGACCAGGAAACAAGGGAGGTGGGAGCCTTTGTGAGCTCCCGTGGCAATTAGCAGAACAGCCAGGGCACCCGTGTGTAAGTGGCGATTACCTCTGAGCCCGGAAGATCACCACAGACCTTCCTGGGAGCTCAGTCCTGTCGCCCACGCTGTGTTTAGTGAAGAGGCTCAGTCAAGCAAGACAGAGGAAAAGATGCTCTCGATGGTGTAGCTCCCTGACTACAGTAGTGCATGTAATTACCTGGAAACAAATAGGACTGTAGATACCTCCCATAGTCACAGGCAATATTGAACAAGTGGTCTGCTTAACAGGGGCTGTACATACAAAACCATCAGCCTATTCAGCTACGTGGATGACTGGGCCCTTTTTATGTATATAAATCAGAAAATGTGTAGTAGGTTGTAAAATTTATGAGCACTTCAGCCCTTACAAATTTTTATCAAGTGTGGCCTTTAAAACCAAAGGTTTTTATTAGTATTACATGCACATTTTCATTATTGTTAACCCTCTGCTCACTCTTAGCATTATGGAGGGAGTGGGAGTAGGGAGAGAAAATAAACCCTAAAGAAAAGGCAAAGAGAAGATTTAGTTCATTGGATGATAGTAGTGTAACCACTTTCAGGCCCACAGATCGGTGGACTGAGGCCTGATATTAAAGATTATATAATCCAGATGGGAAGAGTTTGGAGGAGAACATTCCCATTAAATTTTAACTGCCCAATGTAGTGTCACTAAACTAAAATGTGTATCAAATAAATCACTGTTTACTACAGCTAGATGGAAATCTAATGCTTTTTTTTTTGGCCAGAATTTAACCCAATAAAGAATGTAAGACATGATGATGTTGAAATATGCTGGCCTGACATTTTGAGGAATGGAGTAGTAATGTAGGCCTTAATTCTGCACCTTGTTGCTCCTCCTTACCTTTATCTGTGACTTGGATGTTGCCCAAAGGAGTACAGCCAAAGCAAAGTGCAGGGCTGGGAGGTGCCTGAGACCAGGTGGGGCAAAGTAGAGCAGGGCTGCAGGGCAAAGGCACTGCAGGTCTCCAGCGACCCTGGGGAGAGTCATGGGGGTACACAGGACATTGCATTCTCACAGACTTGTCGATGGGACACAAAACCTTACGCCAGTGCAGTGGGAGGATATCCATGCTCTGTTGCAGGCTTTGGATCAGTCCTCATTCCCAGGAGTGAAATTCACAGCATCATGGAGTGCATCATATCATAAAAGTTCATCATATGTTCTTATGCCTCTATTTTCCTCTCTTCCCATGCTTGCTTTTTCTTCTGCGGAGTAGAGTGCTTTGGTTTTTTTTCTTTTTTAAAAAAAAAGGTTTAAACTGCTAGGATTATGTCCTATTACTTAAAGTGCTTGTTCTGCTACATGTACACGTAAATTTAATTATATTGGCCATATGAAAGATGCATGAATGTTCGGTTTTGGGAAGTATGCCAAGGATATCTTCTGCATGTGTAGTTGTTTGATGTAGGCTTGTGCATGGTAATTGAATTACTGATCAAGTACTGTATCAATGAAATAATCTTGGTAAATTCTGTGTACTTAAGTAACTATAGCCTTGAGGCTGTAGTAATGGGAGTAACCCTGTTACTGATTTCTGTTGTTCTTGAATATGCATATTTCATACCTTTTAATAAGAACGCCCTTTTCTAGCTGCTTCCGTGCCCTTCAGAACTCAGGTTTTTCTCTCAGTCACTTGTGAAGGGTTTTCCTGTCACTGCTTATACTGAGGGACTTCTCAGATGTCCTTCTCACAGTCTGCGGCTGCCTTCCTCTTCAGCCACAGGGAATTGTGCTGCAATGTTGCTCTGGTTAAATGTTCCCTCTGCTTTCCCCCTCCCCATCCCACAGCCCTTGTGGGATAGGAAAATCAGGACATTCTCTTTTTCTTCTCACTGCTTTCCATACAAAAAGTCCTTACTCTAATTCTGCAGGGTTTTGTGGGAAAGTCCATTTACATCTTCATTCTTTCTGCTCCATCTGTCCTTATCTACCCTTCATGTTGTCAGGGAGACTTCCTGTTACAGGACAGGGACATGGCAGTCGCAAATATAATCCGTCCTCAATGTGTCCCGGGAGAATTATTCCAGGCCAGAAGTGTGCATTGTGCCAGATACAGGCTCACAGAGAAGTGTGTAACTCCTTACTTAATCTCTAACGGACAAATGGGACCAGGAGAAATGAGTCCATGAAGATACTGTTGTTATTATTATGGTTTCAAAAGTAATTAGTTTGTCTTCCCCCTCCTTTCTTGTATGTTATTTCTCTCCTCTCCACTAGGCTGCTCAGTAGGTAGGCTCTGGTCCAAGCTAACCTGATGTTCTTCACAACGTCACTATCTAACTGCAGAAAAAAACATCTGAAGAAACACTGAGCGTCATCCTGGGATCACTCTCTGCAAACTGTTCTTGAAAATGCTCCCAGACAGCATAGGATGGCAAAAAAGCTCACGACTGTAAATCCATGTAGATAAGATGCAGCCCTCTTCCATATGAGGGTATGTATGGTATGCAGTGGATAGACGGTAGATAGTGGGTAGAAGTTATTTTGCAGGCCTTCATTATGGAGTTGGTCCAAATCCCAAAGTGAGGTCTGAGCACTTTGCACTTTTCTTAGAGCAAAGCTGTTTACTTCACCCTTGTCAGTACTAGACATGACTTACAGTTTAAATGGCAATAAACTAAATGACTGATAAAGGTCATTCAAACTCAGTTTTGGACATAGGCATTGCACATGAATTCGTATGGTATGCCATTGGCAAGAAAAGTGGTCTTTAAAAATGGACCCAGAGCTCCTGTCTTGAAATGCATGATTCATGAAATGCACTTAGTCGATTCCTTTTGATATTGTAGAGACTGAAGATTTGAAAGAAAATGTCAGACTTCTTGAAATCATTCATTGTTCATTGCGCTATGCATTGTATTGTTACAAGTTGGATCTGATACATTCCTTTAGCAGCTATAGTCCCTGGTGGCATGTTCCAGCAATTTCTTCATGCTTTCAGGAGGTTTTCCAGTAAAACTGAACCTCAGCATATCATGCTCAAGAGATGTGGTGTGCAGAACCTGCCTTTGCTCAGCTGGAGCAACAGCGCTTGGGGATGTATTAAGAATTTCTCTTGGATGCAGCTGATGCATGGGGAATTGAGTGACCACTCTTCAGGTTTCATGAGCAAAAACTTGCCAGTGGATGAGAGCCACCTGATCCCCGGTCACTGAAATAAATCCTTCGGGGACTGGAGTCTCCTGGCAAGAGGTGAGCAGGTCTTGGACTGCACAGCCTGGCTTAGGAGGGAGGAAGAACGTCAGGGAGATGTGGTGAGACCTCCACTTAGCATTGTGCTGCCCTGTCCAAGGGAGAATCGCACGCTTCACTTTGCATGTTGCTAATAGGTCTTTTTCAGCAGTTGCAGCTGCCAAAACCAGAGGGTTGGGTTTTATTCTTTCTCTGGGATCTTGTTGCTTTTGTGTTCTTCATTTTTTTATTTTTTCTTTTCTTTTTTCCATTTAAATAAAAGAGGAAAAAGAAAAATCGAAATAAGCAATTACCAGACATTAGTATGCTTCCACTTGCTGCTTCTGTCCACATTTTTGAGAACTCAGATGCAAATCCCCCGCTAGCAAGAAGAATCCACTGTTAGTTCTTTGATCCCTATTAGGGCTGATGTGTGAAACAAAAGAGGGAGGAATGTTTGATTTTCTTGAACTTGGTTGACCCTATAAAAGAGACACTAGAAACAATGTCTTCACTAATAAACTGAACAAAAGTGATGTAAATACTTGCAAACACCAGTTTCTAGATAGTTATCAAGCAAGCTGAACACTGCAACTGTTTGTTCTATGAGGTGAGAAAAGCCAACATTTGACATCACATTCATAAAACTAACATCCTGTTTCTTGTCACTGATAGTAGGTAGTGCAGGAACTTAAATTTCAAACTCTTTTTTTTTCCACCTTCTTTTTTTTTTCCCAAACAACTTTTTGTGGCATTCCACCTTGATGCAATCAAACTATAGTTTCATTTACTTCTTTTTAATGTTTCATATTAAGTAGAGCAACCAAGGAAGAAAAACAGCCATCTGAGGCTGTAGTGTATCACTCTTGGTCCACTCCTTTAAATCCTTGTTTTTTTCAAATCTTCAGATTATTTAATTGTGTTTTCAGGTCAGGATGCTGTTAGGACAGAACCCGTAGTGGTAGCTTGAGTGTGGAGGACACTGCACGTGACGGGATGTCTTGCTTTCCTTGACAAAGGTGCAGGCATGAGCCTCCCAAGCATCCATCAGCACTCGGCCTCTCCCTGCTTCCACAGACCTGCATCAAGTCTCTGTTTTCTCCCGCTGCTTGTGTCTCCCACATGTAAATGAACGCAAATTTCTTGCGAGGGAGCGAGTGCTGCACAGGCCAGCTGCATCACCAGCATCTCTAACTGCTGTGAGGATGCCTGACCTCAGAGGAACGTGTTGACTCAGAGCAGCTGGGGGCACAACCTAGCTCTCTGTGCTTTCTCTGTTTGCCATATTAACTTGATTCAGAGTGGCAAGGGTTATGGTTTGGGGACTGCTGCCTAAACACCAGGCAGAAGGCAGTAACAAAAATGCATTTATGGTTATTTTTACACAGTTTCGTGGCCAATGAAAATTTCTGAAGTCTGTATAATGCTTTTCACCCAGGGTCACTGATGTACAGATTCTGCTAGACCTTTAAAATCAGCAGTGCCTCAGGCTTAGTGGTGCTGTCACTTCCCTTTACCCCTGGCTTTTTCCCAGTCTCATACAGTTCAATACTTGCATCTCCCTCACCGCTGCTGTGCAATTTGGCTCCAGTTGCACTAAAGCCCTGAGGCCAATTCTTTATAAAAATCAGCCAGTAGTACCACTGGGTACTGTTAGTTAAAATGCAGCCTTGGCTAGCTTTTTGCCTCAAGAAAACATCCCTGTATGACCCGGACCTGGGAAAGGGTGGTTGTGCAGCTTCCCCTGGACTTCTGTGCCATCTGGGAAAGGGGAGTGAGACTACGCCAGACTTGTGCCCTCTTCATTGCCTCTGTCCTCTTGCTTGGAAGAGGGGTGGTGGCCCTTGCAGGTAGGCAATCTCGCTCCTGCAACAGGGAAAAAAAATTTCTCAGTGTTAATCAGATTTTGAGTCCCTTTCGAGTCATGGGATGTAATTTTAATAGCACACAATTATCTGTTTTTAAAGATGCCTTTTAAACTATGCTTTCTCTAGAGGTTTTAAAGAGGCCTCCTAAAAGGCTGTGTTTTTAGTTTTTAATAAAATGAAAGTTACCTTACACTCCTGAAAAGGCTCTGATTTCCTATTGCCTCCCACCTAGAGAAGATGGAGAAGAGATGCCCAAGAAGATGAGCTCTGTTTCCTCCTTTGGGAGCATGGTGAAGGACTGGGTAGAGCTGGCGCTGCTGGAGCACCGTGTGCTGGCCTGCGGGGAACGTGTCCATGTCCTGCGGTGGCCAGGCCACAGGGGCAGCAGAGATGGGCTGGTGTTAGACTGCCCTCAAATCATGGTGTACCTGTTAGGGTTTCCTAAGGGTCAGGATGTTTCCAGTGCACAAAACTGACACTGAAGATGTGTTAACTTCACTAACTCTTTTCAGACTCATGGCAGGTGTTTTAAAAAGGGAAATACATAGCAAAAATAACCAGTAATAAAGGAAAGAGAAAGGAAAGGAAGAAGGGCTCACCCCACCACCCAAGAAGTTAAATTGTTCATGCAGAGCTATGAATAGATTTCAGGGAATTGCCCATTCGAGGGATCTGCATTATTCTGAAATTAGAAAAAGCAGTAAATGAGTTCGTTAAATTTCTTGGAGATTCTGTTGTTCTATATGTTAATTTCAATTTCTAATCTAATTAAAGTATTTAAAGTGCCGTAAAAGGAATTCTTGAAATGCTTTTCGAGGCGTATTTAAACATTAAAGAAAACAAAAGGACAAACCTTGTGATGCAGCGTGTCAGATTGTTGTCTCAGAAGGAGTATTTCAAATAAGTGGTCATGCTTAGAAACCTGTATGAACAGCACCCTTCAAAAGCCTGTGGTAGAAAGGTAGTCCATGGAGATTGCTACTACAGAAAATATTGTGCTGCTGACGCTTGCTTACACTTTCCTCAGCAAAATGAGCTAATGAGACTGCTTCAGCTTTCTGTGCTCTTCTGAATGCTAACTTAATTGTTTAAAGCGTAAATAAGAGTGGGAGTGGTATTAAATAAACATGGTAAACAGTTTGGCTCTCCCTTAGGGAGTGGTTGCTACTGCAGTGTCCAAGTGGAGGTAATGGGCAGGTTTAGTGAAGGGAAGCTATCATCAGTAGTTTCATTTCACTTGGAGATTAATAACCGTACTTTCTATTCCCTTCTCGTAACATTAAAATTTAGTTACAGAAGCAAATAATAGTATGTTAATAATCTGTTTTTATGGGATAAAAAACCAGGAGAATAGAAGCTCAGGAGCAACTGTCTTGAGGTAACATGCAGAAGGGCGCAGTTCCTAATGCAGATAGAGGGAAACATTTATTGGTTTCTTGACCCTAGAGCTGACTCAGTAGAAAAGTCTTGGCTATATATGTGCTTGTTTGTGTATATGTGTTCTTAATAAAATCTTCACTGATTCTATTCTCCTTGCAGTTGTGGACTGAAGACAAATATCAGTGATAAAATGAAGGTCAGCAATTTAATAGCTTCTTGCAGAAAAGATTTTGAGGTGAGTGAAATTAACAGTTATCTGAATGAGATATTTTGCCCATGAGGAGCTGAAAGCTCAAAAACTCTAATGTCACCCATAGGCACAGTCAGGATTTTCCAGAGTAGCAGAATTCATAATTTTGGGAACAAACAGAGCAAGTGGGAGCTCTGTGAAAACTCATGGAGATCTGAACTGATAGAGGGGCCAGTTGTGCAAGATCATGCTCTAGTCTCTAATTTACCAGGGAGATCAAGTGAAGTGCCAAAGGATTTTCTTTCTATTCAGTGGATGTGAAATACTTAGAGCTAAGCTAAGTTTCTGCTGGCTCTGAGGGTACAGGGACAAAAAGTGGGAAATTGTAACAGCAGCTGGGCTGGGACAGATCAGAGGCACCCCAGAAAGACACAGCCTGCAGAACTTGAGTGATGCTTCATCCATCTGGGACAAAAATTGTTACTGGAAAAAATTATATTACCTGTACCAAAACAGTGGCTCGCAGAGGATAGTAAAGGCAACTGTAAAACTGGTTTAACGTATGATATGAGATGGTTAGCAAGAGAGAGTTCTGTGTGAGGCAGGGGCTGGGGAGCAGACACTAAAGGTGGATGCTGCTCCAGGCCAGGACTTGGTCTCTGACACCAGACAGTGCTTTTCTTTGGGTGACTCCTCTAGCTCTCTGGCTGCAGCTCCCCACTCTCATTGCTCAGACTGTCATCTGGTACTGTAAGCTGCTTTTTGGGAAAGAGAGGAAACAAATTCTTCAAATATAAAAGAAAGCAGAAATGTCCTGCGGCTTCCAAACATTTGTGCTGTGCCGTATGGGAGGATTAGTGCTGTCTGGGTGTATGCCACCAACTGGTGTTTTTACTTTGTTTTTACATTTGTTTTTCTGAGTGTGTGAGCAGGCTGTGACTCCTGGGAAGCAGAGCTGCCTTGTTGGCTTTGGGTTACAGCTTTGGGAGATACAGGCCTGTGTGAACAGCAGGAGTGCTGCTTGTTCTGGCTGTAGTTTGTTTTTAAGATGAGGTTATCCCAGGAGAGGCAAACACTGATATGGGCTGAAGTTTCTTCAAAGAAAGACTGGCTTGTATGTGGCTGGAAATGTGGGTTGGTGTAGTCGTGTAACATGTTTGTGTGTGAGGAGTCTGCTGTGCTGTATCTCTGTTCGCAGAACCGTGTCTGCTACCAGCTGAAAGACAGGCAGCATTTGTAACACAAGAAGGTATGAAACTGGCTTAAACTGACGTGGCTCTTAGCCCATAAACTCGGGTATGAATTAAAAGCAAAACTTGGAGTATTTTAGCATGGTCAAGCCTATGGTTTTACTAAGAATTTTAGGACTGCTGTAATAGAGGCAACGTCAAAGGGTTAAATTTTCAAAAAGTGCTCTCAATGTGTCCTCTCAGTTTCACTATTTAAAAACTTCTCTGTTTAAAAAGCTTCTTGAATGAGGGTCTCAAAAGATTTGAAAAAAAATCAAAGTAGCAAAATTCTCAGTAATGTTTTCATCATTTTAGGCAACTCCAAATCTCCGGGGTACTATAGTTACTGCTCAGGTCTAGGTCCAACCACTGATTATCTGGATTCAGTAACTGCAGATCAATACAGTATGTGGCTCTTGTGCATTATTGTGCTGAATAATAACAGTTCATAATCTGTATAGCTCAGTTCTCTATTTTGTGGCTCTAAAAATTAATACAGCTTTCTGCTCAGTAAATGCTATCATCACCTTCTAGTTGTCAGAGTAGTTTATCTGCTACTAGAGTAGGATACATGCAGAAATGTTATTAAAAATCTGGCATCTTCAAAGAGAACCACAGAACAAATGTAATGACAGTCATAAGCATTTGATATTTTCAATACAGCCTTCACAAATAAGCTGCTCAAACACCATTTTGCTGCAAAACTATAAATGTTATGAAGTGCAAACGTTACATCTCTAAGTAATGAAAGGGAAAAAAAGAGAAAAGAAGATAATCAGATCCGGCAACGCATGTCAGATAAAACATTAAAAGGATTAAACATCAGCTGTATAATAAATCCTATTTATTAAAGTTTTAGATAAATAGCCTGGCCCAATATGAGCTAACTGTGGTCTTAAAACACATCTGAAGTTGTTTGTTTTTTTTCCTGTCTGTATGACACTTAATGAGAGTGTAGCTGCTTTTTATAAATATCTCTCAGCGGGCTATCAGTAAAGGGCCACGGTATTCGAATTTGTAGTTGTGGTGTCCCTAAACCCATCCATAACATCGTCTACCACTGTCTGCCATGTGCCTTGCTTGCCTGCAGAGTCCCTTAGCCATTCATGACCTCTTAGGGAGGGATCCCTTGCCTGCAGCAGGCTCCTTCCTTGGGAGCCCCATTCTGTATAGGGTAGCAAAGCTGCACCCAGGGAAAAAGAGTCTGAATTTGTTCAGAGCCCCTTGGATAACAGCAGACCAGAGAAAACAAAAATCCCTGTCTGCAGAAAGCATGCAGCTGAGCAAATGGCGTTTACAGACTCTTGTAGCTTCTTCATGGTTTCAAGTTTGAAAAGAAGTGTACAACGTTATTTCAGTGTGAAGTAAGAGAGACCCTTCCTTTCCAATGTGGTCTGCATATCTGTTGGCTTCATATAAAATGCTAGGCGCAAGTCTGTAAGCCTAGTGGGAAGGGTTTACTACTGAAAGGTTGTAAAAATAAAAGGATTCGTAAAGATTCTGTCCTCTCATGTGAACTCACTGGCTTTGTGATCGATGTGCTTTACTTTCACGGCATGCTGTAGTGATTTGTAAACATTGGGATTGCTTATTGGATCAAGGCCCATCAATTTTTGCCAGATGAAATGAGAACTGAGCAGGTTTCGGCCAGTCCTTGCAAGGAGGTGAAGGTGGTTCTCTGTGCAGTCCTGTTACCTAGCCGGGCAGAGGGCTGAAGTGGTAGGACTTGGTCCTGCCTCCCCTGAGAAGGGAGCAGCCAAAGGCCCTCTGTGAGGTGCTCTGCTAGCCCACTTCCCTCTCCCAGTTAATTACTGGGAGAAAGAGAAATGACAAGAGCTGCGTGATGTTTAACTCTAAACTAACTGGCTAGGAAGCCCGCCGTCAGTTTGTCCTGCATTCTCCGTGTATTTTCTTGACTGCTTTATCTGGTGATGCTTAGTATTCTTCATTCCTCTGTCATCTGATCTGTTGGATGATACTAGCAGACATCAAAAGCGAGGATTTTCTCTCAGAAACCCTATCGAGGACAGCACTGGCTTGATGTGGCAGAAGCAATAATCTCTGCATCTGCTGGCGCGCCAGGAGAACTCTCTTATCAATTAGTCCGTCACTTGCAGCTTTGTGCTGGCTTCCCAGCCCTGCGGCATGTGCTGGTAATAGCAAAGTAACGATGGAGATAACTCTGCTTTCTGCACTGGTAAGGTTGTTTTGCTGTAACTTTCTCCCCCTCTGTATTTCTCAGCACCCGTTTTCTCATCATCTGTACAGCTCTTTGGACAAGGACCATCTTAGAATTGCACAGAGGGCAGTGGTCATATGCTAAGAGCTGGGTGAAAATCACTACGGTGGAGCTTAAGTGTTGACATGTGCAGGGCTTCTGTCCAGTTAAGTAGTCCCAGTCCCTCCTTGTTTAACACACCACATGGTACAAACAGTCTTAATCCCCCACTTAGCATGCAGGTGCAGGAGTTTTGCTGCCTGGGTCTTGGTTCTCTTTCTGATGGGAATGGCCACGTCCAAATACACAACACAGCTGTAGCAGAGGCCAGGCAGGTGTCCCTCTGAGTGTTTCTGCTTGGAGGACGGCAGGACAAGGGTGGGCTGCATTGTGCCCCTGCATGAGGTGCTTGGAGAGGCAGGTGGGCTGCTGGCGCATCCTGGGCAGCATCCTGCAGCCACACTGGTGCTGGTCCAGAAGCCCTTCCCAGGGCATTAGGGACTGGAGGGGAAGGAGACCGGCACCCTGCTCCTCCCTGAAAGTGCCCCACGTTGGAAGGGCTCAGGGGGTGTTGGGTGGCTGCGTGGCAGAGAAGGGCGGTCATTAATCCCAGCCGTAACAGTAGCATCCATTTCTATTTTGAGCAAAGAGATATATTGAAAATAGATTTTTTCAGCTTTTAGAAAATTGGCCAGTTTTCTGACCCGTCCCTGGACAGTTACAACCTAGTAGCTGTTTTTTGTGGCCTTCTTAGAAGTAGCCTGGTCCTACCCCTGGTTTCACTCCCAGGCAGCTGAAAACCGTGGCTGTCAGCCTTGCTGCATGTGAGAACAGGATTTCTTCGTAACTGAAAACAAGGGGCTGGAGGCCTGGGACTACAAACTGGCCTATTTAGAGTGTACTGAGCTCCCTGAAAAACAGTGTTTTATAGAGTTGGTCAATAATAAAAAAAGCCCCAGCATAACACTATTAACTGCTGCTTGGAACTGAGCATTATGGGTTGCAGTCTAGACAAGCTCGCAGACTTCCCCAGATCAATCCCATTCAATTCCATGCTGTTTTACAATGATTCTTGTAGTTCCCACAGATTTATATGTTTAAATCCTTTTTCAAAACACATTAAAAGCTGAGCTCAGCCTGGGTGAAGGTAGACAGAGTTCCCACTGGAGTTTTTAGTAAGTACATTGCCTTGGCTTACAGGCCTGTCTGCAGGAAAGTGCTGCAAAGCATTCAGCCTGATGCGTATAATACTAAAAGTGCCATGGATGGGATTCTCACAATATAAACACACGTGTCTTGGGATGGTTTCCCCGTCTCGTTCCAGGTAGAGAGCCAATCAGGTCAACATACTGCTTGTTTTCTTCTTTACGCTGGAAGTGTTGGCACAACATGCTCGTCATGTAGGCTGGCAGGGGTCATCCCTGCTGTGTGGCGGGGAAGCTCAGGCTGCCTGCACACAGGTTGCTGTTTCATCCCCTCTACAGCTTTGTTTTAAGGACATTGATTCTGGCTAAACATGTCCAGTGGAGTGCTGGATGTTCCGTGATGATCACCAGGATTTACACAATCCTTTCTAGAACACCTGCATTTAATGTCTTATGTATAACACAATTCTAGTAATGCATCTTTGTCTTATTGTCTAAAATGCATCTTTTTTGTTTTATTTGCCTATTCTGCGGTGGTAACACTATTTCAGTTCTCAAAGCAGCAGGGTGGCTGGCTCTCTTTACTAGAAAAGCAGGTATTTGAGGAAAAGTCCTGTGTTCACTGGCTGCCCTGTGCCCCTGGCAATTCAGCCCATACTCCTTGCCAGCCTCTGGCCAAAGTTAATGCAGCTCCTCCACTAGCTATTGCAAACTTGCTGACAGGGAAGCTGAGGTGAGGGCAGTCGTCCCAGAGAGTGTTCCCTGGGTCTGCATCAGTGTCTTGTCTTGTCCCATCTGTACCAGCGCTGTCCTGTTGCATTGTGTTGATGCCTGCTACACTAATTACTGTAGACCAGAGCTCCTATAAAGGTCCTCATTTGCTTTGGGACTGGAAAATCGTCTCTCTGGGATACAGTGCAAAGCACTACCTCAAAGGCAAGCATGTTATTTCAAGATGGAGAGGCTCAAAGCCCGCTGTGAACTCAGATGGCCACGTTCTGTTCATTGGAAAGGAAAGTGGGAGAGGGGAAGAGAGACTCTGGTTGGCAGCTTTGAATGGCTCAGCTTAAAGTCCTGCTAATGAAATGGGTGGCATCTGTCAGCGTGGAAAATAAGAATTTTATTTTTGAACTAGCATTCTTTGACTAACATAACATGTGCTTCCAAACCTTTTTTTTTTTTTTTTTTTTTCTGAATAGCCAAATAAAGTGGCATTTCCCAGGAACAAGTGCGACTTTCTCAAAGTTCTCATGTTCTTCATATTTTCAGCCTATTTCCCCTTTCAGGCCTGTATTATTTGTCAGACTTGTCTCGAAGCCTTTCTCTGTCTCAGATTCTCTGTGGTAGTAGTACAGTTATTAACAAGCATGGTATTTGTTTGTGTGTGAAGCTTGAATGCTTTCCTGGCATGGGAAAAAGCTCTGCCCCGAGGAGTTCAAAGACTAAGACTAGAAAGGCTGGACTATGAAGATAATAGACTGTTAGTCATTTCAGTATTACAGCCTGACTCGGGTGACCAGATGATATTCTCCTGCAGCTGCAAACCTCCTGCTTGGCCTTGGACAGGTGATGCAGATCCAAATTGTCACAGATAGGCAGACAGCAGTGATGTGGGCATAGCTCCACTCATTCCTGTAAGAGGACTCTGCTCCCACCTTCTTGGAGCACTTCAGAAATAAATAGGTTTCATATAGCCAGACCTCCAGATACTGTAGCAACAAAGAACAGATGAACAGCATTAGCTGGCATCAGGGAAAGGGAATCTCCTATGTGAAGGACCATCATTTGTTGCAAGCTGGAATTAATTTTTAAAACACAAGAGAGGTGGTTATGCTGCGAGCTCCTTCACAAAGCAAATTGGCATGTATTGAACCTCTGCTGGCACAGCTGAACAGCTTCCTCAGCCCGACCTTCCCCTCTGTGCTGACGGATTAGCTCTTGCAGTCAGTGCAGGGGTTTTGTACCACATCGGCGGGCCAGACAGAAAGAGGAGATTGCAAAAAAAAGTGTCAGAGGTGTGAAGAAGAGAAGTTCAGGTAAGACATGAATACAAGACATGCTAAGGAGGGAGACGAAAAGGAGACCAGTAACTTTAATCCACAAAGAAGCTTTGTGAGGTGTTCGAGTCTGTAGTCCATGCTGTATATTCAGCAGAGGTAAAATCTTTTTCTGCAATCCGCTATATTTCAGTGATTGCCTCACTGAATTTGGGTGGGTGTAATGCTGTGTTCCCTGCCAGTCAGCCTGGAATTGGCCATCTATCCACTGGAAAATGACCACCAGGCAACAGCATTGTCTTTCCAAACTAGGTGGACTGCCTGGGCTTTGAATTCGCACGACAGGCAAGATGCCCTTTTCTTAATCAGGCAGCCTCAGTTCAGAAGGAATAGGGTTAAAATGAAGGCCAAACACCAGGGAGTGAATATGTTCCTTTCCTGTAATACAGTCTGTCCTGCAAATCTCTTGGGGTGAATGATAGACAAAACTGGCAACATAATAGAGCAGTAAAGGACTACTTAACCCAAGTAAAGTGGCAGAGCAAGTAGGTCCAGGGCTCATGCTCTGCATTTTGCATGTATACGGAGAATCATACCCTCAGGACTAGCAGGAATAGCATGTAGGAGATGTATCAGTATTACAGTGTTCCTCTGAGCATCCAAAGACTGCCGTACGTTGACCACACAGCTGGGTAGATGCTGGCCGTGGTGAGTGCGCTGGAGGGGGCTGTGGAAGTTGCCATTGACAATTGGTATTTACAGTGCACTGTTCCCTCTTGTCTTCTGTCCAACAGCTCTGAGAATTAAATGGTTTTAAGCAATGGCCTGGTCTGTAACAATTGATTAAGCATTTATTAAAACATTTATTAAGCATGTGTTACCTCTTCGTAAACCATTTATTAAAGGACTGCTTGTGCACTGTGTGTGTGTTACTGTTGCTATCCATATACTCCAGCGGAGTTCTTTTGGGCGTAAAGAAGCACAGATGATAAAACGTCTCATTATATATTAGCCACATACATCTGGGTTGTTTCTTCTACAAGGAAGACAAGTAGCAGAACAGAGTGGTTCAAAGAAAATGTGCCTGCAGCAAGCTGTCTCAGAGAACATTTTCTGTGAAAGGGGCCTTCAGTTTCCATTTTAGTGCAGCATGTGTATGCAGTGAATGAAATAAAACTTTGGGGAATGGTCCATTTTAAAGAGTTAAAAAGGACCAGAAGGTCAAACTAATTTTTAGGTGACATTGGATTTCTACCTTATGTTATTTAATTAAACACCGTATTTTTGTAATGCCATTGTATTCTCTTTAACTACAATTTACTTGGTTATAGGAACCTTTGAAACATGCTGGCAAAATCTGATGAGAAGGCAGTAGCGTGCTTGAAGCAGAAATTCCAAGAACGAAACTGTAGCCATTTCCAAGAGATGCTAAGAAGATGCAGCTGGCAGGGAGGAACAAGTAGGTAATGGGCTGTTTGTGAGGGCTCATTGTTACTGCTTTAAGATACAGGTCCAATGCCATTGCATAAGCCATGATCTCTGCAGCCTGATGAAAGCAGGGACCCCCTTCACACATCTTCAGCCTCTGGGGGTCCTCTGCTTCTGTTGGCACTAAACAGTGGGTCAGTTTGAAGTGCTTCTTTTTCTCAGAGTTTGGTTGTGACTAACAGTGTAATATTAACTGACGTCTCCTGTAGAAGCTGTGATTTTTGTTGTGATGAGTATTTGCACATGGAAATGGCCAAAGTACCCCTCAACAGAAGGTTTTCTGCGCATCTGATGGTCAAAATACACTCTAGGGGCAGCAATACCCTTTCACTCCTGGATGAGACCCTGGAGCCTATCCGGTATGCCTTCCCTTGGGGTCCTCTGGTGCTCCATTGCCTTTTCACTCTCTCTTCCCCTGGTGACTGCCTGCAGGAGGCTCTGACTCACTCCCTGTCTTTGCCCTTCTCCATGAAAAAACACACCTCCAGGAGTCACGGGGTCGATCCTTGGCTGCCATGTGATGTTAGTGATTTCAGGGGGGCAGCTGTACACCACCATGGGCCCTCCGTGTCCTGTGGCATGGGAGCACGGTCATACCAGCTGGGCTGAGGTCTAAGTCACAGTTTCTCTGTCGTACTACCCCAGCTGCTGATGGGCTGCTGCAGAGGGAGCTAACCTTAGGAAACAAGGAGAAACGTGTTGCTTGCTCCCTCAGAATTTTATCTTAACCCTTAACAGAGACTAGACTAACTCTGGACATTCTGTGTGAAGTGATTGCTATAATGGGGAATGTTCTCCTTACCCACCCAGAAGCTCTGTGTTGGTGTTAGCACTGTGTCAATCTATTAAGGTTAAAAAACAAAACAAACCCTGCTAATGTGGGCAGACTTGTGCAGTGGTGTTGCCCTGGCTTCACACAGCGTGGAGCCCCAGGTCAGCTTAGCTCTCCGTGCCACACAGCCTGTGCAAGGGTGCCGTACGCCTGGCAAGGTGGAGGTGAAAAGCACCTCCTGGTTTGTCCATCCTGCATGGGCCGGGGCTGTCAGGAGCCATCCCTCTCTGCTGTGGGGCAAGAGGGGAATCTCTGTCATAATTAGATCCTCATTAGCCCTTGGCACAGCAGAACTTGATGTATTCTGCGTGGAAGCATGTGAATTTGGACGGGGGGTTGTTCCTGAACTTCACTGTAACTTTACACCTAACTTACTCTCTGAAAGTCTTCCACAAACATAGGGCAGAAATCTGGAAGATTCTGTTTTCAAATAAATAGCAATATGAGTACTGAATGCACTCTGTGATGAGGCCAGCAGTGAATGTTCACAGGTCTCAGGTATTTCCATTTGAATCCTTATTCAGGTGGCTTTGAGGGAACCATCCATAATGTGCCTGAATTTCCAGTGTGGCCTAAATAAAAGAGAAAAAAAAAAGTTGGAAGCTGAAGTAATTAAAGTGATAGTTAAGCCCACACTGAAGGAAGTGTGGGGTGCAGAAAGTCTTGTGCCTTTTTTATATTTTCTGGAATTTTCCTTTTGTTGCTTTCTTTCAAGTGATTTCAAAGGCTTTTCAAAGGGAAGATAAGTGCTGTTCCTGAGTTACCCTCCAAGTTAGGGCAGTTGTGGGGGATTTGTTTCACCTGGAGTTCCTTGCCCAGCCTCCCAGTGCTCAGGCCCTCTGCCTCAAAACCTGCTGCCCACTGGGGTGTCCATCCATGACATGAATGCTGCTGTCTCTGTCTCCCTACTGTCAGGGTCAAAAGCAAAGACTGCAAATCTCTCTCTCTTCTGGCCATGCCTCTTTGAAAGGAAGCTGAAAACAAGTTTATTATTGCCTTTTATGTTTTTGAATCATAGATCCAACATCCTCCTCTGACCTCCTCCTTTTGCCTGCTGTGCAATAGGCTTTGCTAAGTAGTAGCTGGCACCCTTCAAAAAAATGCAAAACAATATTCCCCTTGGCTTCCTCGCTGGGGCTGCCCACGTGGGTAGTGCTGGGGCTTAAGGCATGGCAGTCACAGGGGAGAGGAAAGAGACTGAAATGTTTCTTGGGCTTTAGGACTCACTGTGCTCTCAAGGAAAAAAAAAAAAAAAAGCATCAGCAAAGCAGGAAGAACAGTTAATAGAATTTGTAGGGGAGGCTTACAGAGTACAAATTAGCCATTGCGCCAAATATCTCATTTGATTGTTTTGTCATGCACTAGTTTTTAGTATTGCTGTTGCTGGAACCAAGCAGGAAATAAATGAAAACAAAGATGCAAAAGGAACATTTGTGTATGAATTAATTCAGTTGTCTCCAAAGCGGCGTCTGTTCTTATATTTCAAAAGCTGCAAAAAGTGCCTGAATTTTTCTTTTCCCCCCTACTTCTACAAGGTCATTCAGGCTTCCCTCTTTGTTGTTTCCTACCCCATTTGTATGAGTGAGCAGTGTACTGCTTGGGCAATATGTGGGAGTGCAGCTCTTACTGGAGACAACTCGAAAGAAGCTGGTATTACTTTTTTTCCCTGAAGCCAAACACTTTGCATTGAACTAACATCATTTTACTAGTTTTTGGTGCCAAAGAAATGGAGAAGTAATTAGGGGGAAAACCACAAAACCTTTTTCAGACTTTCAAGTCATTGAGCTCAAAAAAGTATGAACTGAAATGAACAGAAGCTCATCATTTCTTTCTCAATGAAGTGTCAGTGCCTCCACACGATCCTGCAGGACCTGTGCACAGAGACTCGTTTAGGAAGGGCAGCAGCCTGCGGTGGATGTTAACATTAGGGTAGGGCTGTGGAGGTGATGGCACCAAAGTGAGTGTGGGTGGTGCTTTTTTTTTTCTTTTTGCTTGGAGGAGGAGGAAGAGAGGCAGATAATCGCCTCATTCCTGGTATTGTTAATGATATTCTAGAGTCAAAGACATCAGTCCAGAAAAACAACCAAGCAGATAATAATAAATAGCTCATGTTGATGGTGGCAGGAGTATTTGTTTACTGTGAAGTTGAGCATGGGCTCTTCTCGCTGGCTGTATTCAGGCTTACTTTAAAATGTAAAGCATGTGCAAGTACAGTTTTACAGAGCCTCTGCTGAGGAAGGGTTGGGAGCTGAACCAGAAAGCTTAGAAATTTGTCTTTTATTTATTTCTTGTGTGGTTTTTAGGTAGTCGTACATTACTTTGTGTCATAGCATAATAGAATTGATGTATTTTTATTTTCAGCTCTCTGTAGAGAGTTGGAATTTAGTGATGATTGAAATATTTAAGTAGTAGCTGCCAAAAATTGTTTTAAAGAGAATTATTTAAATAGAGCATCATTTCATTCCAGTAAAACATGCCAGTAATGGTTGTGTATATTTTGTAGAATGCACGTATAAATACAGAAGTGAAGGAGAAGCATGTTATTCTGAAGCTCATAATCTTTGGATGTGTTTGTTTTCAATCTGTATGGGAAAGAAAGGAAACGTTGACATATCCAGATACTCTGCAGACCAGAAATCCTATCATCTAGCCAAGTCTACTGGTTAAAAGGAAAAGAACAGTGAAAGACAAAAAGTAGAAAGCAAAGTTTACTGAGAAAAAAACAAAGTCTGAGGAAAGATGAGAGAGAGGTAACAGAGCTTTTTTGAAAATTAATATTCAGTGTTAGGCAAAACAGTCTGTGAAAGAACAGCGTGGTATTCCCAGAAGGAATCCAGAGAAGTTCAGTTCCGCATATTGTACCTTTTTAAGTCATAGTCAAAGCAGATATTTATCATATATATTTATTTTTTATTAATAAATGATGGCTGGATCCTGCCACTTCACTTGCAGCAGGTGAACAGTTTTACTGAAGTTGCTTCTCACTGAGTGTAAGGTCTGTTTACATCAACCTGGGAGAGTGTAGCAGCCCTCAAAGTTACTCAGATCCACACAATACGGGTGCGGGAAGCAACTTCAGATGGAGTTTAAGCCAGATGTTCTCTACTTCAGCCTGGCAGAGTGTAAAATAGCATTAAGGGCAGGAATTCAGTGCCCAGGATGGGTGTTTGTGGATCTGCACATCTCGAGGTCTCTCACTCTCAAAATGTCCCCAGGAGAGGTTGCTGTCAGCCTTCACACAGGGCAGTGTCGGAAGAGCAGAGCCTGTTTCAGCAACTCATCCTTTCCAGTTCAGGTCACTAGTGGGACTCACAGAAGTACGTGTTAAAAAAAACACACTACTGATCTGTCTAATGCCAGACTTCCAAGTGAAAGTTGAGGTCAGTTATGAATTAGCCTGGTTGCTTGTGTCCAGTTGTCTTTGTCCAAGAGCAACAAATGGCTTTCAGCACCAGGGGCTTGCTTTCTGCTCAGTGAGAGTCTCCTGTCTGTGTTAGGCATTGCTGGAGGAGAGGGCAGAGGCACTGCAGAGGGATGTTGGTCGGGACGGTGTGTAGTGAGCCAGGGTGACAGCTCCTGCCTAGAAATCTCAGTGATATGTGCTTCTGCTGCCTCGGAGTGCGCAAGTTTGAACTGTGTTATTAGAGGAAGGGGTGGAAACCTTCTCTCGGTAGTATTGACAGTGCTGATTACTCTGAATGCAGGTTAAATAGACAAGTACTCCCTCCCCATTCAGAGCCCTGTTCCTTGCTTTTCTTTCTTTGTCCCCATTCCTTTCTCTCCGCCTCTTAACTGAGGCTGGTGTTAGAGAAGCACTTTGATTGAGCAGCCATGCAGTTTGTGAAGAACAGTGGGGTTTCTGGAACATCTTTCTTCTTGGAACATTACAAATTAATCGCCACAAGATTCAATGATTTCAGCTGAACTTCACATCTTTCCACTTCATGGATAGCAAATAATGGTCAAAACAGGAATAAAAAGATTAGTTTGACTCTCACTGAAGTTTCTCCTACATTCCTTCACCTAGAATTTAATCAGGGACCAGACTGAAAACTCAGCGAGCTGACATGAAACACTGACTTCGCTTGAGTTGTCCTTAAGCCCTGGCATTATTGCACCCTTGTAAATGAAATTTGAAG